GCAGGAGGTGCAGTAGCAGGTGGAGATGTAATTGCACTGGTAGGTGTAGGTGTACTAGATGAGACATTCACTTGAATCCCTTCTGCAGCTCCAACACGAGCACCCACTTTTTTGGAAGTGGTTCGAGGAGGAATGGAACCACTTTTTTTCGGAGCATCTCCTTTACTAGGACGAGAAGATTTCGTCCTACAACAAAAAGAAAAAATGTAAAAAATCATAAAATTGCCAACATGTAAAAAAAGCATAAACATTAATTCTTACATTTTTGTACTTGGTTTCTCAAGTTAATAAATTAGTTAATACTTAATGAAAAGCAAAAATGAAAAGCAAACAACAAACTAATTATTAAGCAAACAGCAAACTAATTCTTACATTTTTTATTTTTGTACATTGTTTCTCAAGTTAATAAATTAGTTAATACTTATTAAAAAACAAAAATGAAAAGCAAACAACAAACTAATTATTAAGCAAAAATTAACTATTACATTTTTGTACTTGGTTTCTCAAGTTTCTAAACCTGCAAAACTGAAAAGCAAACAGCAAAATAATTATTAGTTAATACTTAATAATCAACTCAAGTCTCAAACAATTGAATTAAATAAATTAAACCTCTAAGTAGCTACCTAGTACCTACGGGCTACGAGCCTCGGCCTACTGCTGCTCGCCTGCTCCTCTGCTCGCACAGTCGACCACTCGCACTAATCAAAAAACAATGGACGGACAGCCTACACAGGTTACCTTTAATAAAAAAAAATGGGCGGACAGCCGGAGAAGGGACGATGCTTTGGGTGGAGGACTTGCGCTAGCGACGGAGACGACGGGCTTCGACGGTGACTGGCTTCGACGGACGGAAACAGAGCTTCGATGGAAACAGAGCTTCGACGGACGGCGGTCGTGGACGGTGCAGGCGTGCAACAGTCACTCAGGCGCAGCCGCGCAGGGGATTTTTTACGAATGGAGATCGTTCGTACTTCGTAGGGATTTTTTAGGGATGCAATTAGTTTTTAGGGATGCAATTATGGCCTTATGGGCCTTGGCGCTTGATTAGGTTTTGTTTCCCAGTCGGTGTCGGATTACCGACCTGCCGACGGTAACTTCCTCTCTCGGTAACGGCATACCGCCCGCATCACGATCCCCAGCCGAATACCGTTATGCTCGGTTACCGGTTGAACCGTTTACCAGCCCTAATTTTTATCACGTGTTTCCCAAAAAAAAATTATACAACAATAAGCTATACACCTCATTACATTATCAAATTTCATATCTCACCTTTTTCCGGCCAACTGGCCGGAGCCACGCTAGTGTTTATAAGGTGTCAAAGAAAACGAGTGAGCTAGAGAAAAATATGTACACAACATGCTTGTACGTTTACAAAATGATGGACCGTTGGGCCTATGGTGAAATGACATTGACTCCAGGTCTGGTGAGATGGGACCATACACAATATTTGGTGTTTTAGAAATCATAAAGTTTGGGCCACCAATCTGACGAGATAAACAAAAAGAGCCATTAATCTAACCACAAATCTGAAAAGTCACATGAACAATATTCCCTTCAATATATTGTACTTAATTGGAAAACGGGATGGAAAAACATAACACAATTGTAGTTTGTAGACTTCACGGCTTCACCAATAACTCATTTATTAATTCCCAAAATAGTCTCCACGGATCCATCATGATTCATAAGCAAGCCAACACCACATTCTAGTACAATGTCAAATAACGTACACATCCATCGAAGAAACCAAAAAAATGGAGGAAAAAGCGGCCAACTCGTTAATAAATCAGGGTCGGTATGACCCATGAAGGTGATGGAGATATGAACATACGATTCTCATGAATCGAACTGACATCGTATAGTGGTTGAACGGTGCAAGTGTCGAGACTGTAAATTCCCATGTCGAAACCTCCAAGCAGCTTTCTGTAATGATTTTCAATGAGATCGTCCGTGAAATAAATAGAGTTTCGGGCGAACTCGGGATGGTCTGTGGTGGGGATGCGAACAGCAGTGTTGAACCCTAGGAGGAGAGCGAATTCGCCAATGCTGTCGACCTCGTCCCATCCCTTAGTGTCCTCGTTGAGCCTGAAAACTCTGAATTTAGTCGTGTGTCTCACCCTGACGGCTAAATTCATTCCCGATGGGACGCGATGTCCGTCATCCGAATCCGAATCGGGTATAGTGAGATCAGCTTCAGCATCATCCTCCACGTCATTTTGATCATCATAATCACCATTTCGCTCCTCTGGGTTATCCTCGGTTGCATACCTGGTCACGAACATCAACTCATCCTCCTCCGAGCACGTTACCAAGTAGACGTTGTCAGGTGCGCCCACAATGTCGTCCATGTCAGTGACCGACCGCACCTCCGGACAATCTGGTTTAGAAATATCGCAGACGAAAACTTTTCCTCCTTGATCGACGACATAAAACTGACCCCTCCAAAACACAACGTCCATAAGACAGTGCCACCCCGGGGGTCGCGAAATCAATGTCCATCCTTCTTCTTCTTCAACAAGGCCAGCCCTCTTCCTATGCAACTTGCAAAAAGCTAGCTGTGGACGAAAGCTGAAGGGCATCCGAATGACCATCGCAACACATTCCTCATCCTCTGGCGGACACGAGAGAGCCATTTTCATAATGTATCTCTTCTCCATGAACCTCTTCCCCCGCGCTATCCTGCGGCCATAGAGATCGACGTGGAGAACCTCGTGGCGGTGCTTTTCCGGGCGGTACCTCAGCACATCGGGGAAAGCCGTGATCGCCGGCAGCGAGATCCGATCACCCGTAAAGGGGTTCGTCAAGAGCAGAGTCCCACCCTGCAGAGTGAATACCCAGCCTGAGACAGAGCCACGACAAGCAACCGTTCTGCCCAAACCATTTTCCGGCAATTCGATGTGGTGAAATTTCTGCTCCGCCACGTCGTAAAACAGCCTGCACCTGCTGCCTCCGCTGCTGCACGATCCGCCAACCATGGCCGAATCGCGGCAGTAAGGAAGCATCAGCCAGGGAACAGGGGATCTGAACTTCCGCGGGCAATTGGCCATTAGGGTTTCCCTCCACGGCTTGCAAATGGCTCGGAATCGGATGAAATCTTTCGATTTCGTTAGCCGTTGATCGATTAGGCACAAGAGCTCCCCGGGCAATTCGGACCAAGCCTCGTGGGATTCAGCAGCAGCAGAAATCAGCCTAAGTTCATTGTTATTGTTATGATTAGTGCGGGTTGTGGGAAATTGAGGCAGTTCTTAATCAGTTAATGACGAAAAGGAACACAACACACGCAAAAACAGAGGTTGGCTTCGTGGCTTACCCGTTGCGATTGGTAATAGTCTCGCCTCTGGAGCTGTGCTTTGTTTTCCGGCGCTTCAACATTCTTATGCCTTCACAAGATGACAAACGTCACGAAGCTTCTTTTTTATCTTTTCTGCTAGACGGCGGCTAGGGTAGAGTTAGGTGAGTCCCTCATTCAATGGGGAATTCTTCCATGTCAGGAAGTACCATATCTGCTTGGAGGGCTGATTTCGGTTCTCCCGCTCAATAATATGCGCCTTGTGACTTTCCAAAATTAAAAAAATCATCTTATAGAAAGTTTGGAATTGAACCAAAAACAAAAAAAGAAGTTTGGAATAGAATCAATTCAGAATTTATTTCATTTTAAAACGAAATCTTCTATAGAATTTATTGTGAAATAAATTTCTATGTTTTAGCAATAAAATTAGTTATATTTTCAAATCATGTTGGGATACGTTCAAATTGAATTAAATTAAAAGAAATCAACTATACCTTTTTTTTGTCAAAAGATATCATATATTAATCCAAACAAAAAGATAGTTACATCCTGGAAAACAGCCAGACCCGGAAATCAAAGAAGCGACTTACAGATGGATACAAAGAGAGTGCTTTTCTAGCTACCGAGTGAGCAACCCTATTGTTCTCCCGACCTATAAACCGCACACTAAACCTAGGGTGGGCACAAAAATTTTATAATGAAGAATTTTATTATGCTTTAGAACATTGGTGTTTTAGTTTTTTTGCCTTGATGGTACAACTTGTACCTTTAATATTATGCTACAACTTCAAGTTATATACGTATACCTATACTCTTTCGTACAAATTCATTAATAGTTCAACTTAAATTTGTAAATTTATGTTATTGTATAATTTAAAAGTTGTACCATAACATAGAAGTAAAATTCTCTTATGGTACAACCTGAACTTGTACATTTAATATTATGGTACAATTTCAAGTTGTACATCAAAACACCAATGCTTTAAAGTATAGTAGAAGTGCTCTACTATTATAGCCTATTACACTTTGAAAATCCTTTTTTTTTTAGGAAGGAAATCCATCTTCTAAAAATGCAAGTGTCAAAACTATCATACAACCACTATCAACTAACAAATGACTCGAACCAAACCCACAATCAAGCCTCAGAATCAATACTAGTTCAGTCAGTTCTGAACGCAATACCGATCCATCTCGAATCAGGCCGGCAAGATGAAGCGGGCAAGATGGAGGAGTTTGTTTAGGTGATGGTGCTTCATGTTAATATTGGTATTACTGTCCCGTAGTGTCTGTACAGAGTTATTATTATATAGTTAAGTTGATGGTGGGTCGTCCAGGTGAAGAAGAAGAAGAAGTCAAGGTTTCAAAGGTTAGGGCATGTACTTAAACAACGGTCGGTTAGTTAGTAAATGGAATAAAAACTCCTCTTGTTTATGTTTATATATGTGCTATGTAGAAACTTATAACGCGGAAGTAAACGACATGATGGTTTACGTGGTTTCCCCGAAGAACGATACTAGTTCACGGAGACCAGAGCTCTTAGAGATGGTTTTCACTATGCTAGCAGCTAGGGTTGCAGCTGCTTAACGAGTTCTAGCCGAAAGGCTACAAGCTTATATACCCTTCCACCCGACACACGGGTATATAAGTACAATTACAAAAGACATCAACCAAAGAGTAAACTATACAAAAGAGTCCAGGTCTAATACTCCCCCTCAATTTGGAGCATGCAGATCACGAATGCCAAGCTTGCATAACAAATGATGAAACTGATCAGCACCTAAAGCCTTCGTAAAAATGTCAGCAAGCTAAGACTGCGTCCCAATCTTCTGTGGTGAAATTTCACCGGAAGCAACCCGCTCACGAACAAAATAGCAGTCCATCTGGACATGCTTCATGCGCTCGTGGAAGACCGGATTAGCTGCAATATGTAGAGCAGCTTGATTGTCACAGTAGAGAGTAGTAGGACGACGTTGGGGAACCTGTAACTCATGGAGCAAAAACCGCATCCAAACAATCTCACTGGTAACACTAGCCATGGCACGATACTCGGCTTCTGCAGAAGAGCGAGTGACAACGCGCTGCTTCTTGGCAGGCCAAGAAATGGGGGCCGCTCCAAGTGTGATGTAATAGCCTGTCATGGAACAGCCGGCCCAGTCAGCATCACTATACGCAGTAAGCTCCAACGAACCAGTGGAGGGAAGAAAGAGACCCTGTCCCGGAGCAGACTTGAGATAGCGGAGAACGGGATGCGCAGCACCTAGGGGTGGCAATTGGGGTGGGTGTGGTTACCCGCCCCATATTTTGCGGGTAACCACACCCGCAAATATAGAATTATGCTACCCACAACCCACCCCGCGGTGGGTAGTGGTTAACCACTATCCCTTGCGGGTTGGTTGTAGATATCCACAAAAATTTCATCATTAAATAAAATAATATGGTAATTAAATAGTGGAGATGTGTTTCTTCTCACATTAATAAAGTGTTAGATAAATTATAAATCTCGCATACAAGAGGTTAGTTAGTGTAAATTCAAAAGCGATGGATTTGGAAAGAGATTTGAAGATAACGGAGAGGCGGAGTGACTTGTTACCAGACAAACATCGTTGCATGTTACGGCTCCTCCGATGGCAACAATAACAAAACACAAAAGTGGCTCGATAAGTGGAGTCACCCTCTTTTAATAAATCGATTAGTCTCCACTCTCGATTATAGTCTTGTATTGTTGGTAGCTAGTTGCATGTTGTGTTGTTCGTGAGTTCGTGGAGAAATGGAGACGAGTTTGGGTATCGAACTAACCTTTATCGATTATTCACCTCTTCTAACGAATTGATTAATTTATCTGACTATATCTATGGACTTGGTTTTGTTATAAAATAAACATATACCACACGAACAATGCTTATTTGATAAAAGTATCTCACACGAACATTACGTATTGACTTGGTTTTGTTTTATAGAATAAATACGTATTTGATTTTAGTAGCTACCTTAATTCTTAGTCTTCCAAGTTTCACAAACTAATATAACTGTTAGGGATGTGACTCGGATCTCACCACGCCGAAGAAATACCCAAGGACGCTCACGCCAAAGTCAACGTGCGAGTCACGCCGGAACCAAGCGCGAGCGCAAAGACCGGCCCCAGAGACCGCGCATGGACGCCAAACGACGGCGCTTTGGACAAGCATGGGCCCTCGCCGAGAAGTCGTAGAAGCGGCGCCGCGTCACCCAAAGGGTAGTCACCATCATAGTCCTAGGTATAGTCATGGCTAAAGGTCTTGTCATCCATAGGGATATGGTCTATGTCCCTAACATGTCAGTGGTCATGTCACCATACCGTAGTGGTCACGTCATCGTACCGTCATGTAACTCACCCACCACCATGTAGCCTATAAATACGGCATTTACTCCGGTGGGTGAGGGGATGAGATTGGGGGAGAATCACACTCTATCTCTAGAAAGAACGAACTTCTCTCACTAAAACACTCTCTCGACCTTATTCTTACTTCCATTTGTCTTAAAGTTCCTACTTAACCAAGTCATTCGTTCTTCTCGACCCGTTCTCGTGAACTTCACTCCTACACTCAGTCAGGTTCAAACAATTGGCGCCCACCGTGGGGCCGAGAAGAAAAATGGCAGAACAAGACTCCAACATACCCGGCGAGGTAACCCCCATCAAGGCGATAACGGCCCCTAGGGTGTTCGCAGAACTCGCGAAAGCCAGCAACCGCGACGCGGTACTCATTGAGGAAGAAGAGCCCGAACTTACGGCCAAGGAGATGAGGCAGTTGGTGACAAAGCAAAACGGCGTCATCGCCAACATGCAAAAGCAGATGAGCCAAGTTATCGCGCTCATGATGAGCAGAGAAGCAGCGGCAGCACCGAATGCGGCGCCAGTCGTGTTACAGCTAACGCAAGGAGGGGCATCAGGCGATGCCCCGCTACCACATCAGACAGCGGTCGAGTTGCCCGCACCTGAAGCCCAGCGACGCGAGCCGCCTGGAAGGGCGGACCTCAGCTTCTTGGAGCAGCACCTGTCCCCACAGTTCCGCCCCAACCCGCCTAGAAAAGCCCTACATCAGCCGTTGTGCGCGGAGATTATGGCGGAACACTTGAGCGGGACGCCACCCACCCTCCCGACTTACAACGGAACGACCGATCCAGAGGATCACGTCAGCACCTTCTGCCTGTGGATGCAACTCCAAACCAACTCTAATGCGGCGCTGTGTCGGACCTTCCCATCAACATTTTCGAGGATATGCCTCGACTGGTATAACCGCCTCCCCAATGGAATCATCCGCTCATTCGAAGAGTTCATACTCTTGTTCACAACAAAGTTCGCGTCACAAAAAAGAAGGCCCCTCCACCTTAAGGCGCTGATAGACATCCGCCAAAAGGACGGAGAAAGCTTGCGGGCGTTCTACGCCAGGTGGTCCAGGGTGGCAATGGCCGTAAGAGATCTCACCCCAGAAACCGCCGCCCATCACCTCATGGACGCCATCACTAGCATGGAGCTCAAAAGAGCGCTAGAAAAGAGACCGATCACGCTATCTACGGAGCTAGAGGTCAAGATCGAGAAAGCCATTACTTTGGAAGAGACGCTGGGCGCGGGTTCCGTCAGGCGCTTTGAACCCGCCAAAGTGCTCAAAGAAGATCAAGCTCGTAAGCAGCTCCCTGTGCTGCGAGACCAGTTGTTGCAAGCACACAGCGGCGCCAGACGCCCACCACCTCCGCCAGAACAAGTCCATCGGGGGCGGTCGCCAGATAGGCGTCCACCAAACTACACACCCCTCAACGACACCGTGAAAAACGTCTACCACGTTCTGCGCGAGAAAGGTTACAAAATCAATTGGCCAGCGCCTATGAAGACCCTTCCGCACATGCGGGACCCCAAGAAGCGCTGCGAATTCCACAGAGACACGGGTCACTGGACTGAAAACTGCAGAGAATTGCGCTATGAGATCGAAGGCCTCATACAAAGGGGACTCCTGAATGAGTTCATTCGCGGAGCGGAGGAACCAGTAGAGCGTCCCGTGGAACCCCCACCATCGCCACAGGCTGACTACGACGACGCCTCAGGCTCATACGTAGTGCGAAAAGAAATTGGGATAGTAACGATAGAAGGGGACCGCCCGAAGAAAAAAACCAAGCGCGACCGCGCCATAGAGTGCGCGGCGGCGGAGGCCCCGCAGAAGTGCAACTTGAGCTTCGACGACTCTGAACTCCCCGGAGGGGTCCCGTCAGAGGACCCGCTCATCATCACCGCGCTCGTCGCCGCCTGTAAGGTTCGCCGCCTACTGATAGACGGAGGCAGCGCGGCGGACATCCTTTTCAAGAGCACGGTCGACCAGATGGACATTGACCCGCGGCTAATCAAGCGCGCCTACGGGAACTTGGTCGGCTTCTCCAGCACGAGGGACCCAGTCATTGGTGTGGTCACTCTCCCGGTCGTACTTGGGGACCAAGAGCCACGCGTCTCGAAGCAAGTCGAGTTCACGATAGTCGACTGCAAATCCCCCCACAATGGAATTTTTGGCCGTCCGTTCCTGGCGAAATTCATGGCCCTCCCGTCAACATGTCACCAGAAACTTAAATTCCCCACTAAGGAGGGGGGCGGCGAAGCGCGCGGGACAACATGGGAGGCCCCAAAGTCAGGAGAGGCCCGCCAGACCAACATCGTCGACACAAGGGCAGAAGAACCTCGCCCGGAGTCAATGTATTCTGATTTTGAAGTCGCCCTCGATCCAAACGAGCCAACGCGCAAGATACGCGTCTCAACTCACGTCCCTGGAGACGCGATTGAACCGTTGATAAAGCTGCTGAAGGAGTATAAAGAATTGTTCGCATGGTGCACGGAGAACATGCCAGGGGTACCAAGGGAAGTCGCCCAACATTCCCTTGGGGTCCCGGTGAGCGCGACACCAAGACAACAGGCGCGACGAAGCTTCACGGGCGACAAGCTTAAAACCATTGAAAAAGAGGCGGCGCGCCTGTTGTCGACGGGATTGATCCGTCCAGTGAAATACAAAGTGGCTGGCGAATGTGGTTTTGGTAAAGAAGTCTTCGGGGGCTTGGCGGATGTGCGTCGACTACACAACGATCAACAAGGTATGCCCACGAGATCCCTACCCACTACCGCGCATTGACCAACTGATCAACGCCACCGCCGACCACGAAACGCTGTCTTTCCTGGACATGTTCTCAGGGTACCACCAAATCCCAATGTCGCGCGAAGATGAAGAAAAGACAGCCTTCATGACACCGTTCGGAAACTTCTGTTTCGTCGGAATGCCGTTTGGGCTGAAAAATGATGGCGCGACATACCAGAGGATGATCGATGCGGTATTCTCACAACAGAGGGGGCGCAACATCGAGGCATACGTGGACGACCTCATCGTCAAAACCAAGGCGGGGAAGTCACATCTGGAGATCCTGCGCGAGACATTCGAAGCGCTCCGCAAACACAGTCTCCGCCTGAACCCGCTGAAATGCGTGTTCGGAGCAGAAGCCGGTAAGTTCTTGGGATTCATGATCACCAAGCGCGGCATCGAAGTCGACCCAAAGAATATCACCGCAGTCCAGGGCTTGCGCGCGCCGAGGAACACGTTGGAGATCCAGTCTCTGAATGTAAAAATTGCGGCGCTGGGAAGGTTCATCCCAAGATCAGCAGACAAGTGCGCCCCGTTCTTCAAAACACTGAAAAGCATCGCGCGATTTGCATGGACCAAGGAATGCGAAGCGGCTTTCCAAGAGCTCAAAGCCTATCTTGTTTCCCCCCCCCCCCCCCTGTATTGACTGCCCCAAAAATTAATGAAGAGCTTTTCTTGTATCTTGCCGTGTCCACAAGAGCTGTAAGCGCAGTTCTAATATCCAAGAGAGACGGTCAGAACAAGCGCCCGGTGTACTATACATCGCGAACTCTGGTCAGCGCGAAAACAAGGTATTCCCTAATTGAGAAAGCAGCTTTAGCACTGGTTAGCGCAGCGCAAAAACTACGCCCATAATTCCAGGCACACCGAATCACCGTCCTAACCAACCTGCCGTTAAAAAAGATCCTAACTTCAATGGAGGTATCAGGGCGGATGGTCAAGTGGGCCGTCGAGCTATCAGAATACGACATCCAGTACGCTCCGCGTCCAGCAATAAAGGCGCAAATCCTGGCAGATTTCATCGCGGAGGGAGTAACCCTGGAAACAGCACCGGAAGGGGTGTGGGAAGTTTATGTAGACGGCGCGGCGAGCAAGCACGGCGCCGGCGCGGGAGTTTCGTGCGCACGCCTACAGGTGTTGTGCACGAAATAGCAATCCGATTTAGAGCCCTGAAGACAAATAACGCTGCCGAGTATGAAGCCATCTTGGCGGGAATGGCAGCCGCCAATGACTTGGGTGCTAAAACGATCAGAGTACTCTCCGACTCATCGTTAGCGGTCAACCAACTGAATGGAGCCTTCGAAGCCAAGGAAGATGCACTCGCGCAATACATGGAGCGCGTCAGGC